CATGTCACTCCTGTGCTGGTAATGAACATAACACTTTACATGTTTACCTTATTTAGTGGCTGGAATGATTGTTTAATATGAAGTTAATAACCAGCCTCCCATACTCTCTGCTTTGGACCTGCTGTTACCCCTGGCAACACCATGTAATTTCCGGTCAAGCGCTTGCTGTTGGAATTTCACAATAAAAGCACAGGTGAAACTTAACATCATGGATTGCTGCTAAATTGTTCTCTATGAACAGCTTCTGAATTGCCTTGGGGAGTGCATAATTTCTTTAGGAAAGCCCCAAAAGCTCTGAAAAAAAAAAAAAACATTGTCCACTTTGGTTCATTCAGATGCAGCTCTGATTCGGCGGGAATGTAAATCTTTCCCCTTAGAAAGCACTCATGCCGGGCAGTGGGCACCGACTGACCAGGCTCCATGCTGGGGGTGATGGAGAATGATTAATATTCGTTCTGGACTAAATGAAAATGTAAATCTTAATTTAAATCCTTTATTTTCCCACAATGGGGAAAATCCCTCTCTGCATTGTAAATTAAAACGGCTTTTTTAAAACCAACTAAAAACCTCTTGAGAGCATTCCTTATTTCTACCTTTTATTAAATTATCTTCTCTGTATTCCAATTTAAGTGAAAAAAGCGTAACCTACAATCAGTCCCTAGATAATGTGGCTGCAGTGTCGCAATTTCATAGAAACGTTCAGCTTGTTTCAACCTGAGTGGTGATCACTCCTGTCTCTCTTTGCGGTGCTGCTGTTTATGAACACCACAGTTCTATTGAGTAGCACGAGGTGAGGGCAGAGCAGTGAAAACTCTCACCGCGTGGAGTTCACTACTCGCTGCTTCACCACCCTACACCACACAGTTTGTATAGGAATTACATGTGAAGCTACTGCTAGGGCCATAGCCAACGCTTCAGGTCTGAACGCACCATTAGATAAGTCTCTACTTTAACACACCTGAATCCTAATTAGGTCATCGGCATGACTCTAGAGAAGTTGACTTAAACTGAACGGGTCAGTTAGCCAATTAATAAAGGCGTGTTGGATTAGGGACATATCTTATCACTGCTTTACACTAATGACAGACGTAGCAACAACAACGGGTAGATTTGAAAATTCACAGATGACTCTGCTGTTATCAGCCTTCCTCTGGGGTGAAGGGAAGAAGGGAATCATCATGCTTGTGTTTTAAATGACTTAATTTCTTCAGGTGATAAAGAGTTTTTTTTTTTTTTTTAACAGCTTACAAAAGAAAAGATGGCAGAATTTAGACAGCGCCCCTGATACCATCTGTCCCCCTACCCATCGAAGCAAACATAGAAATTCAACTTTTCAGGCGTGCTTCAGTGGCGCAGGGTTCGAATCTGACCTGTGGTCCTTTGCGGTCCTTTTCTGTCAGCCTACTATGCATAAAAATGAGCCACTAGTGCCATAGAAACAGTGAAAAAAAAAGTAATTAGTGTTTTCTAAAAGTATATGTGATTCAAAGAAAGATTTGTAAACTTTCTGACATTTTCTTTGACTTGTTGATAAGGAAAGTGAGAGATAAAGCGGCTTTATAAAGCTGTGAACATCAGAAGCTAAATCACAGGTGCAGAACAGAGCAACCTGAACGAGCTGTAGATCTTCAAACACTGAGGAGAGCAAACTGCATTTCGACATTAATCTTTTTTTTAATATATTTTAGGTTCCCCCTCTGTTTGGAGCAATAGGTCTAAATTTTCATTTATTCCTACAGATTTCTACCCCCTCAACGTATTTAAAGTTAACGCCTGTGGGTCTTTTTTTGGTTGTGTGTAGTTTTTTTATTTTTTTTATTCTGAAGTTACGCATTTTAAAGTTTCAGTATGATCTATTTATTAATTTATTTATTATATTCTCTTTTTTATATATATATTTTGGTCTTAAATCCCCATTGAATGAAGCTGTTATATCTAGTTTTACTTGTTTTTAATCTCCTCAACCCTTTAGCGGGTAGCACTGCTGCCTTGCAGCAAAAAGGTTCTGAGTTCTATTCCCGACTCGGGGTCTTTCTAAGCACATTCCAAGATAGATGCAAATCAAAGACCCACCTGTTGTTCTCCTCGGTCAGTGGAGTCTGGAGTTTTGTGTTTTTGTTGTTGTTTTTTTTAATGTTAGCATTTTTTAGCTGTTTGAAATAAGGTGAAAAAAGCCAGAATTAAACTTTAACTCCTAACCTGATTTAAATGTAAAATTTTAGATTTGGATCAGGCTAAATCCTTTCCTCTGCCTACATCCCCCATAATGCCATGCAGTTCTGGATCTGAGTTCAGAGAAATTATTGAAAATTGTCTTTTACAAAATATATTTAATGTCCAATGTAATCCTAAACACCTTTGTTGTATTTAGTTGTTATTTAAGCAAATGTCTCTCTATGATTACTGTGTGTCTACAGCCTGTGATGCATATAGAAAAAAAAAACAGATTTTCTCCCTCTATGGTTGTTGTTTTCAGATGAATAAAACCCTTAAAGCCAACGTGTTTCTGTTACCTTTAACACCCTGACCTCTCACATTGTTCCAGGCAACTTAAATAGATCAGCATCCTGCTAATGTGCCTGTTTGTTGGTTTAAGCCCAAAGTTATTGTCCCCAACAGGCTTACGGTTTTATAATGCGGAGGCAAAGCTGAAACCGGAGTCTCTCCACAAAGCAGCGCTTCCTTCCTTTGCCTCCCCAACATGTGGTATTTGATGTGGAACCAAAGAACGGGTCTGATCATGTCCCGCTTGCCTCCCAGGTGGGCTCCTGATGGCACGTAGACTAACAAGTTATAGTGGTTTTGTTTTTTCTAAGACACCTGGTGGCTGACGCTTGCATTGTTGTGTGTTCAGGAATTTTTTTATCATTACTGTATTCAAGCACAGATTTAATAAAACAACTTAAAATGAATCCGTGTTTGGAATACAAGGCTTAAGTTAGAAATAAAGAGATGTAATTTTGACTTTGAGATAAAATGTGTTCCTGGAATTATGGGATAATCTCTGAGACACAGTTGGACTCACTTCAGGTCAATGAGGATGTCTTTGGTTGTGGCCTTCTTCCGACAAAAGCAGCCTCCTCCCTGCTTCACCTTGTAGTGAATATTGTGGAAACTAACGACGGCGCCGCGTTTTCCTCTCCCTGCAGACTGAAAGGTCATTGCTTCACCAAAAACGAATATTTTCAAATTTAAAATGAATCCTTTTAGCATGAAAACAGGGGTTTACCTGGCCTTTGGAAGGTCCGTTCTGCCCGAGCTCCATGTCAGACATCCTGCTCTTTACCTTCCGTTTTCAAAACTCTGAAAAACACGTAGGACGTAATGAGAAACTCACATTACGCACATTATTAGTCATATAAAATTCGTAGAACAACCATAAAAACGGCAATGAACTTCAATTAAATATTCTGTCTTAGAAAGAAAACATATTAAAGATATAGTGTTTTAGGGAATGGGTGAATTTCCAGATTAGCTAAAGCAAGCATCAATAGCTAATTAACTGGTGCAAGAATTTATCACTTTTTAAAGTATTTAACTTGTAAACAATTTACTCTTACTGTTCACGGGAACTGTACATGTTTCCAGATGTAGACAAGAGATTTAGAGCCCTACAGAAATATGTTATATATGACAATAAGAGTGTTTAAGTCGTTGCTAACATAGAATCTTTCAGATTCTACGTAGCAACGACTTTTAAAGTTAAAAGTAGCAGCTACCTTCCCACATGCAATGTTATCTAAGTTGTTTTTATCCATCAGCCTTTTTCTGTTAGAGGTTATTTTAGCCAAACTTAAATTTTAAGTGTTGTACAACGTATAACAGCAGTTTTACAAGGTAACGATGGCAGTTTTCTGTTATTTGATACGATTTCTGAATAAATTAAGCAGTGGTTTTGTTATAGACAATTTAATGTT